AGTCTGGATCACCACAGGGGACCTGAGTCTTAACGCTACCAAGTGTCATGTGCTCACAGGGGCACTTGACAGAGCACCAATTCGCTATTGAACCTGCTACTAGGGTTAAGGACTTGGGGGTCATGATATTGAACAACTTTAAGTGGTCTGACTAATGTTCAGTCGCGGAGCGCAGCTCTAAGGGGGAATTATCAAGACTACGGTCGGTTCTAACATGCAGACGACTGGATGTCTCTATTCCCGTTTACAAGGCCATAGTCAGACCAAACCTAGAGTTTTGTGTACAGGCTTGGCCAACCTTATTCAAGAAGGATGCTACCTGTTTAGAGAAAGTGCAGAGATTGGCCATCAGAATGGTTGAAGACCAGAAGAAAGACTTGAGGCTCTAGGGTTTTTCTCATTAGAAAGAACGAGACTGCGAGGAGACCTGATATAAACCTTCAAAATCATGAAGCGAATATCGGGGATAGTATCGGACAGTTTCTTCACATTAGCTGCCGGACACGGCACTAGGGGTTGTGAGCTCAAACTCATGAAGCAGAGGTGTCGAATAAACATGAGGAAGCACTTTTTCACCAATTGGATAGTCGATATTTGGAACCGGCTTCCCAAGGAAATAGTTGACCTCCAAACAGCGCAAGCCTTTAAGACTGCACTTGATAAGCCATGGGTGGAAATATTCCTATCCCTGGCAGTGTAGAGTGTAGGTGTGCCAAATGTTTATGATGTCTTTTCCCTTTTTTACTGGTGCACGTCATGGAATGCTCACATCACTCGACAACTTAGAGAGATGAGACCCTTTTTCTTATTCGTATTTCAGCAGAGCTGGGTGCCCACACAGTGAGCAAACCACTGAAGGAATTCTGGACGCTCGATTGGTTGTGGTCATATTCAGTCGTGTGAAACCTCACCTTACCTGACCTGAACTGAACTGAACTGAACTTCAAGAACAATTGTAATGAATGTTCACCATACCTAACCGTGTCCCTCTCTCTCCCTCTGTTTCCAGACGCCATCATGGACGAGACAGAGAATTTGAAAAGCATGAACCACCCGTTATGTAACCCTCCCTATGACCTTGACCCTCACTGACCTATGTATATATTTGACCCAACTACCCCCTTTTTTGACTTCCGGTTGTACATTATTGTGAACGCGTGCGATAAACATTTTTCGCCTCTACGCCGACTTCTTCCTACAACCATCGGCGTACGCGCCCGACTGGTCGAAGCTGTTGAAATGCTTCTGTTGGCTAACTCCTGGTTCTCTAATTTCAGATAATCGACCCGCGGTTGATCTCTCCCCCTCTGTGATAACTACAAAATTGGTGACAGTGGTGGGATGGTAAAAATCATGCCGAAAATTGGTGAACCGTCCACATCGAAAGGAGAAGAAAAGGCTGACACCAATTCGGTGCTCCTTCAGGCACTGTCGGCCTTACGCTTGGTGATGGAAAACGTGGCCGCGCAGCAGATCCCGGTGCCTCCGAAATTCCACATCGGCGATGATTATGACTGGTGGAAATCACAACTCCGGCGATACTTGCGTATGTGGGAGCCCAGTAAACGGCAGTACATACTGCTGTCTCTAGTGAACGAAGCAGTGTGCGACCAGATTCACGAAGAAGTCCCTGAAGACGTCTCGGATAAAACCGTTGACATAATATGACCCATCCTAGTCTCTCGCCGGCGAAAAACGCAAGATCGAGATGCCTTCCGCTATTGTACACAACGAACTGATGAAACGGCTCAACGATTCGCAGCAGAACCACGGAAATTAGCTGCGCTGGCATTCCTCGAATGTGAGGCTGCATTTCGAGAACTGATGCTTCTGTATCAATTTGCCGACGGCGTACGTTCAGCAGCTGTCCAGAACTCGTTCGTCGAACGGCCACCCGAATCGTTAAAAGAAGCTGTTACTCGTGCCGCCTTGCTGGAAGAACCACGCGTGGCTACCGATGCCCCGCCCAACCTGAACGCCCCAACCAATTCGCCGCCCGACTGCAGCCAACGACCTAGACAATACGTTGGACGCCGACGTCAGCCGCGAGATCGACGTGGACGGCCCTGGGTTGCTCGGGAGAATGCAGAAGACCCCAGTTCAATTGAGTCACACCAAGATGCTTATTTCCCCTTTGTCTGTTCCATGCCACTGATCACATTACCTACAATCATAGGAAGTATTAACGGTGATAATGGTAGAATGTTGGTGGATACGGAGTTAGCAGTAACCTTAGTCCGAGACGCCCCTACATTCCCCAGCAACGCACACCACCAGGACGGTAACTCTGGGCAGCGAACAACACAAGGATAGTGACATCAGGTTTCACCCTAGTAACCTTCCAAATGGATACGCAGACTCTGACCCACGAACCGATGGTGGTGCGCGGCCCACCGTGGGACGCCATCCTAGGAATCGACTTCCTCACCCAACACTCGTGCATCGTAAGTACGACACAGAACTCATAATACATCAACGGCGAACGCGTACCATACGACCTAACGGCCCATAAAGCCCGTAAAAGAATGATCGGGTGCACCACCAAGACGCAACGTAAACCAGATAAAGTAGACCAACTCCTGTTCACCGTGGGACCGACATCTCAGCTAGAACGAGACAAGCTAGGAAAGGTCGTCCTAAAAACGAGACGTTTTCGCATGGTCTAAAGCGGAATTGGGGCGCACCGACATAGTCACCCACCGAATCAACACGGGCAACGCCACCCCGATTGAAAAGACACCTCGCCGGGTCCCAGTGCACTACAGAGAACAGGTAATCCAATTGATCACCGAAATACTAGTCAGCAAGGTCATCCCGTCATAAACGTTCCCATGGACAGCGCCTGTGGTAATAGTGAAAAAGAAAGATGGGTCCTTGAGGTTGTGCGTCAACTACCGCCGATTGAACAACATAACCAAAAAGGACTCTTTTCTATTGCCACATATCGACGAAATGCTTGAAAACGTATCGGATTCCTCGTACTTCTCTACGTTAGACCTCGCGTCGGGATACCGGCAGGTTGGAGTACATCCCAAAGACTGAGAAAAGACGGCGTTTGTTGTCCCCAGCGACCTGTTTGAGTTCGAAACTATGCCATTTGATATAACGAATGCGCCGGCCACATTTCAGCGCCTGATGCAACTGGTACTAAAGGACCTGATACCAAAGAAATGCTCTGTATACCTCGATGACATAAGTGTCTATAGCCGAACGCTCGAAGAGCATCTAGATGCTCTGTGTGAAATTTTTGAAAAGCTCAGGGTGGCAGGGCTTATGCTAAAACCGGAGAAATGCCGCTTTCTCTGCCCCCAAGTGAAATACCTCGGGCATGTGATCAGCCGAAAGGGAGTTAAAACCGATTCAGAGAAGGTGGCGAAGGTTAGCAGCCGGCCCATACCAACCAATGTGGAGGAAGTCAGGAGCTTCTTGGGCTTAGCCTCCTAATACCGGCGGTTCTTACCAGGTTTCGCTAAAATAGCAGCGCCGTTACACCGATTGACGGACAAAAAGGGGCGTTGGACTTGGAGCGCCGAGTGTGAAGATGTCTTTCAAATGCTGAGAAAGACTCTCACCCGAGCTCCTATACTGGCATCACCCGACACCTCACCAAGTGCACAGCCCTTCATCCTGGACACCGACGCCAGCGACATAAGCATAGGAGCGGTTTTATCACAACAACGGCAACGAACGCGTGATCGCATACGGAAGTCGCTGCTTAAATAAGCACGAAAGAAAAAATTGTGCCACCAGGAAGGAGATGTTGTCCCAAGAGTATACGTCCTCGATCATTTCCGCCATTACCTACTGGAGAAAGAATTCATCGTCCGCACAGACCACCAAGCTCTAACATGGCTGCAAACGATCAAGGACGCTGCTGATCAAGTTGCACGCTGGCAGGAACGATTATAAGAGTACCAATTCCAGTGGATACATCGTCCAGGGTCCAAGCATCAAAACGCGGATGCTATATCTAGGAGACCGTGCAGAAACCATGGTGAGTGCCCCGCTTGTTCAAATGCTCACATTACCTCTATTTCGATGCAGGCTGCACCCTCAGACGCATGGAAAAAACGCCAAGCATCCGACCCAGATCTGAAAATAATCTATCAGCGTCTAGTCGAAGCAGGCGAAAGGCCAAGCAGAGAAGAGATGATAGGCCAGAGTTGGAAGAGTATGTGCGTATGGAATTTATGGAAACACCTACAAATTCTGGATGGGGTCATGTATTTCCAATATGGCCCCACATATACTCTGCGAATAGTGGTCCCACAGATGGAAATCAAGACGGTATTGGAAGAAGTACATAGAGAGCTGGGGCACAAAGATCAACGGAAGATACTGTCAGCCGTACGGCAACGGTTTTGGTGGCCCCAACAGACAAAAGACGTGGTGAACTTT